AATATTCTGGCAAAGCAAAGACAAAGGCGGGGGGGTGAGACCATTCCCTCTAAGCTGCGTGGCCACGCAGGCATGCCTGGCAGTGTGGCATGAGCATGCCTGTGTGGCTGTGCAGCTTAGAGGGAATGCTGCTGGGTGTGTGTGTGTGTTTGTGTCTGGGTGGTGTGCAAAGCGGGCCCTATTCAATTTGGATTCAGCCTGAATTGGGGACAGTGATTCGATTAGTTGATTCAGATTACTGTCCCTGATTTGATTTGGCCAAATCCGAATCTGAAGATTAAATGCTGATTTGGAGAATCAGCGATTCTGACATAGACACAGCTTAAAATGTTTTTTCTACATACCTTGAAGTACCAGCATGGCTCATGAACACTGTGATGTGGGGGTGGATGGAGCATCACACAGGAGCACGGGAGGGCCCCCCATGTGCTTGGCCACGAACCCGAAAGTGGACCGGAAGTACTTCTGGTCCTCTTCTGGGTCTGCCAGAGAGCACGCAGGGGGGCCCCCTGCACCCCTTAAGCTTGGCAATCGGCCATGGGGGGACCCCGGGTGCTGCCCCAGACACAAGAGGCACCAGTCACTGAGCGGGGGGGCTGTAGGGGGCCCCCCTGCATGCTCCCCAGCGGACCCGGAAGTGGACCAGAAGTGCTTCTGGTCCACTTCCAGGTCTGCTGCCGAGCACACTGGGGAGCCCCCGGCACTCCTGTAGGATGCTCCATCTGCCCCACCATCGCAGCATTCACGAGCTGCCTGCTACCTTGAGGTATGCAGAAAAAACATTTAAAGCTCTGTCTGCGTCCTAATCGCCAAATCTTTCTGAATCTCTCTGAGTCGATTCGGAGGGTTCTAATTTGATTCAGTGAGATTAAAGGGTCCTCTGATTCGATTCGGATTTGGAGATTCAGCAGCCAAATCAGGCCAAATCTCTGCTGAATTGAATCAGGGACCGAAGCATCTCACAGCCCGTGTGTGTGTGTGTGTGTGTGTGTGTGTGTGTGTGTGTGTGTGTGTGTGCGCGCGTGCGCACGCATGCGTGCGCAATAGAATCACAGAAAATTAGGGTTGGAAGGAACATCAGGAGGTCATCTAGTCCAACCCCCTGCTCAAAGCAGGACCAGTCCCAACAAGATCATCCCAGCCAAAACTTTGTCTAGCCAGGTCTTAAAAACCTCCAAGGATGGAGGTTCCACCTCTTTGGGTAAACTGTTCCAGTGTTTTAGAACTCTCCTGCTGTGAAAATTCTTCCTAATAGCTAACATAAACTTCCCTTAATGCAACTTGAGACCGTTGCTCCTTGTTCTGTCATCTGCCCCCACTGAGAACATAGAGTCATAGATTCATAGATGCTAGGGTCGGAAGGGACCTCAACAGATCATCGAGTCCAACCCCCTGCCCAGGGGGCCCAGCCAGATGCCTATCCAGCCTTCTCTTAAAGATCCCCAAGGTAGGGGAGAGCACCAGCTCCTTTAGAAGCCCATTCCAAATTTTGGCCACCCTTACTGTGAAAGAGCTTTCCCCTAAATCTGCTCTCTGTCAGTTTGTGACCATTGTTCCTTGTTACCCCAAGAGGCGCCCTGGTGAACAGAGCATCTCCGATGCCTTGCTGCATCCCCCTGAGGAATTTGTAGGCAGCCACAAGATCACCTCTCAGCCTTCATTTGCGGAGGCTGAAGAGGTCCAGGTCCCTCAGTAGGTCCAGGTCCCTCATAGGGCTTGTCCTGTAAGCCCCTAACCATACGAGTGGCCCTCCTCTGGACCTTCTTGAGTCTAGTTTAGCTCCATCCTCTTGAACCACCATTCAGGTAGTTGAAGGCCCCTATCAGATCGCCTCTCAGTCTTCTCTTTTCTAGACTAAATAAGCCCAGTTCCCTCAGTCTTTCCTCACAAGTCATATGTTCCAGACGCCTCACCATTTTTGTTGCCCTCAACTGGACTCACTCCAATTTGTCCAAATCCTTTCTGTAGTGGAGGGCCCAAAACTGAACACAGTACTCCAGATGTGGGCTCACCAGTGCTGATTAGAGGAAAAGAATCACGTCCCTTGAATTACTAGCAATACACCTACCAATGCAGCCCAGTATGCCGTTAGCCTTCTTGGCAACAAGGGCACACTGCTGACTCATATTCAGCTTATTGTCTGCTGTAACCCCCAGGTGATTTTCTGCAGAGCTGTTGCCCAGTCAGTCAGCCCCCAACCTGTACTGGTGCATGGGATTGTTCCTACGTGCAGGACTTTGCACTTGTCCTTGTTGAACCTCATGAGATTCCTTTTGGCCCAATCCTCCAATTTGTCTAGGCCGCTCTGAATCCTCGCCCTACCCTCCAGCATATCTACTACTCCCCCCAGCTTGGTGTCATCTGCGGACTTGCTGAGGATGCACTGTATGACATCTTCCAGGTTGTTGATGAAGATATTGAACAAAATCGGCCCCAGGACTGACCCCTGGGGCTCTCCGCTTGATACCAGCTGTGAACTAGACAATGAGCTATTAATTATTACCCTCTGAGCCTAATGTTCCAGACAGTTTTCTATCCACCTTATAGTTCATTCATCCAACCCACACTTCCTTAGCTTGCCTGCGAGAATGATGTGTGAGACTATCAAAAGCCTTGATAAAATCAAAGTATACCTCATCCACTGGTCTCCCCACATCCACAGAGCCAGTCATCTCATCATAGAAGACAATCAGGTTGGTCAGGCATGACTTGCCCTTTGTGAATCCATGCTGACTGTTCCTAATCACCTTTTTCTCCATGTGCATAGAAGTGGATTCCTTGAGGATCTGCTTCATGATGTTTCCAGGGACTGAGGTGAGGCTGACTGATCTGTAATTCCCTAGATCCCCTTTTTCCCTTTCTTAAATATTGGCACTATGTTTTCCCTTTTCCAGTCATCCAGGACCTCTCCTGATCACCATGGGTTTTCAAAGATGATGGCCAGTGGCTCTGTAATCACATCAACCAACTCCCTTGGCACCCTCCAATGCATCACATCCAGCCCCATGGACTTGTATATATCCAGCTTTTCTAAATACAGGTTTTCCCCTCTCTTTGTGGGTTCTGTATGTGCAAATTTGCTCTTATGCGATGACCCTTTTTATACCAAAAATTGGTTATATGCAAGGTAAATTCACTTTTCTGTGATTGGTGTGGTGGAAGCCTGCAGTCAGCTGCTTTGTGTGGTCCATTGTGGGAGTGACCCACACCAAAATATAGTCTCCTGTGTGGATCTGTGTTCCTCGCTTGTTGTCTATGACATGTGTTTCTGTAGTTGCCATCCCCATTCTGATAGTACCCTGTGCTTGTGTGTCTGCTGTTGATGAGTACCAAAATTGTCTTGTAAAAGTGGTAGAAATGGGTCTGGGGGTCAGTACAGTCAACATTTTGGAACATATCCCTATTGGTTGCATTGTAAAGTGGGTTTCCTCTATGCAAATTTGAGTTATGCATCATTTTCCAGGAATGCATGTACAGCATGAAGGAAGGGAAACCTGTAGTCCCTAATCTGTTCTTTCACCACTGCTTGCTCATCACTTCCTCCTCAGACTGCTGCCTAGTGCAGAAATCTGGGATCTGACCTTACCTGTTAACACTGAGGCAAAAAAAGTCAATAAGCACTTTAGCCTTTTCTGCATCCTTTGTCACATGGTGCCTCCCCTATTCATTAAAGGACCCACACTTTCCCTTATCTTCCTCTTGCTGCTGACATACTCATAGAAACCCTACTTGTTACCCTTCATATCCCTTGCCAGCTGCAATTCCAATTGCGCTTTGGCCTTCCTGACTTAACCCCTGCTCATCACTTCTCAGTGCTCTTATATTCTTCCCTAGTTATTTGTCCAGGTTTCCACTTCTTATAAGCTTCCTTTTTGTGATTTAGTTTACTGGAGAATTCTGTGCTAAGCCAAGCTGGTCTTCTGTCATACTTACTAGTCTTCCTGCGCATCAGGATGGTTTGTTCCAGCACTCTTAATCAGGCTTCTTTGAAATACAACCAGCTCTCCTGGACTCCTCTCCCCCTCAGTCTTGCTTCCCAAGGGGTCTTGCCCATGAGTTCCCTGTCCAGGGTCCTTACTCTGCTGCTCTCCATCCTTCCTTTCCTCAGGATCCTGAACTTGTGGTCACGGATACCCAAGTTGCCATCCACTACTACATTCCGCACCTATTCCCTATTTGTGAGCCATAGGTCCAGAAGAGCATGGCCCCTAGTTGGCCGTTCCAGCACTTGCACCAGAAGTTGTCCCCAACACTTTCCAAAACCTTCCCGGATTGCTTGTGCACTGCTGTATTGCCCTCCCAGCCATAGGCAACATGTAGACAGGTATGGGGGTCACGTGCCCCCCCTGAGAGTGCTAGTGCCCCCCCTGAGAGTGAGTGCTCCAGCTGGTAGGGAGGCATGGAAAGCACTCGTGTCCCCCCTGAAATTGGCTCTGTTGGAAGGACATCAGCAGCAGAAGTGGCACTTCTGCTGCCGCTGTGCCACTGGTGCACCCAGCAACCAACTGCTAGGGGATCCTCCCCACCCCCTGGTCATACCCTGCTGATGCCCCCCAGATTTGGGAGGCACCAATTACCCATGATCCTAGCAGACATCAGAGTGGTTGAAGCCCCTCATGAGAACCAGGGCTTGTGATCGGGAAATTTCCACTAGCTGTTTGAAGAAAGCCTCATCCACCACTTCCTCCTGGTCTGTTGGTCTGTAGCAAACACCCACCATGATATCACCCTTGTTGCTCTCCCCTCTGACCCTAACCCAGAGACTTTCAACAGACCTATCACCAGTTTCATACTGGAGCTCTGAGCAATCATATGGCTCTTTTACGCAAAGTACAACTCCTCCTCCTCTTCTCCACTGCCTGCCCTTCCTGAACAGTTTGTACCTATCCATAACAGTGCTCCAGTCATGGAAGCTATCCCACCAAGTCTCTGTTATTCCAAATATATATATATATAGTGTGTGTGTGTATGTATTTATGTATATATTTCTTTTCTTATAGATATTTCCAAGCAGTGCTCCATTAGAAGGTGGGACAAAGCTAACATTATGTGGATGGGACTTTGGATTCAGCAGAAATAATAGACTTAACTTAAAACATACAGAAATTCTTATTGGAGGGAAGCTTTGTCCTTTGGAAGAAAAAGCTAGCAACAAAAACAAGTAAGAGCACCTAAAATGTTTTGTAATCCTATAACCTGTAAATCTCTCTTGTAATCTCTACTTGTTAAGTGAAGCATCTGGCATTCCTTAATTCTCAGGTTTCATACAGAAAAATAATACAGTAACAATAAATATCAGTATTCCTATTTGACAAGCTTCTCATGTAGTATAATCTGTTTGGGAACATGCTGAAGGTTCAGTGTTCTAGTAAATGTTGAGCTTTTCTTCAGTAGTCTTTATTATGATTGTCCATTAGCTTTTGGTCCTCATTTGTGTTACTTGGCAGGAGTAAAAGGATTCTTGGGTAGTTCGGCTTGTTCCAGTTAGTGAAATCCCAGAAAATGATACATTCCCTTGGTCAGGATCCCTCAGGCTCAGTTTTGTCATCTCTGTCTCTCAAATTTGTGAAGCTTCTGGGAGATAACAAGGGGATACAGACATAGCTGTCATCAGTTGGCTGGAGACTCACAGCTGTACCTTTCCTGTTCCTCAGATGCTAACAATGGCATGAGGATGGAAGGCTTAAACTCTGTAGAAATGAGATAGATGTGATGCCATTTGGCACTTTGAGGACCTCACAAATGCTATGAACATTCTTTCTCAACTGAGAGTCACTGTCCACATGGGTCTTACTTAATCACTTTCTTCTCTGTTCCCATAGAGCAACAGAAGCTAGAAATGCAGGGCAAGAAATTACCCTCTTTCCTCTAAGACAGGGACTGCACTATCATGACATTGATAGTCTCCTTAAAAGTTTATTATGGCAGGCAAAGAATTTAAGGAGAAAGAATAGACTACCTGTGAGACCATATATATGTATAATTCATTCCTGGGTAATATGTTCATTCATTTTCTCAGTAATATGCGACTTTTCATGATTCTGTTGTCTGAGAAAATTAAGCACTAAGGAAAATTTTAAAAACAAAAGGATTTTTATATGAATAGAGACATTTGTTTTTTCACTCACATACTCAGTGTTTTCAGTGTATGTTTCATATATCAAGCATTTCTTTTTCTGGCTAAATGCAAACATTACAGTGGTATGAAATTTGGCATGATGATAAGGAATCACAGGTCATTCAACTCATTATTTTTAAAGCATTTGTGACTTGGGAAGATTTATTATTTTGAGTTAATATGGATGCCCTTCTTTAATCAAGCCAGAAAAAAATTAATATCATCTTGATTTTCATTTTTAAAGGCTGGAGTGCAGTGTTGCTGCTGCAAATAGCACAAGTTTGAATATATCCAGCAGTGTTTCAAGTGGACATGGCACATCCCTATTCAATACATTTTCCTATGTGGTAAGCATTATGATTACAATTTTAGCACCAGAATTAACCTCGTTATTCATTAAGACAGGAGGCAGGTTACTGGAGTAGACAGGCCATATGTGCAATCCTGTATGCCAATTTCTGTGCTCTTTTTATCTGTATTTTTTGCCTCAGAATGTGAAATGTGTTAGGATTTTTTAAATATGTTTTTAAGATCTTGAAACAATTTAACAAGCTAAATTCTTATTTTTACCCCTCAGAATCCGGTCATAACACATATCTCTCCTACCTATGGTCCCAAGTCTGGTGGAACATTATTAACTGTAGCTGGGAAATACCTAAACACTGGAAAAAACAGGAGGATTCTTATTGGTGGGAAACAATGCACCTTAAAAAGGTAGTGTACTCACAAGAGAGTATTTGCTTTTGATAAAGAATTGGGTTTGATTAAATACTTGTGGCATGGAAAGTTAAGGAGCCCTAATACTGGCATGGTATGTGTTCTTGCCCTTGCTGCCAGCAGTATTGACGTATTTTTATTTTTGCTAATCTTTGGTTTAAAAAACAGAAATAATGTCAGTGATAGGGCTAGAATTCAGTCCTATTTTCTTCTCCTAGAGTGCCCTAACCACTTGGCCAAAGTAGTTTCTTTTCTTGCTTTTCTGGCCCCAGGAATCTTGTAATCTTGGTTGCCCATTGGCTAGCTTCAGCTGAAAAGTGGGAGGCCTTCCCAAACTGATCTGAATTGCAACAGAGCTAATTCAGAAAAGAAGTACTGAAATGACTGGCCTGAATTGCTTCTGAGTGGATACAGACCCATGTCAAGGCACTTACTAAATCTAGGTGCTTAAGTGGTTTTGTTAACCATTCAGTGAGCTCAGTTTGTATTGTTTTTTTGTAATGCAAATGCCAAAATTCTATGCAAGTCTTGCTTAGGTGCCTTAGAAGGTGATTAGGCAGGTTTCCCGATGTCCTGCAATTGGTCTACGTTTTGAGTCTCTTCATGGTTCCACAGAGTCCTACAGGCAACATTTCACACTTGTGGAGAGCATGAAGGAACAAAGACAGCTAGTTAAAAGTACAGAACTCAGAATCAGGATGTGAATTTTGCCCCTGGGCTCTCTGATTTCTTGTCTTCTCTTAGACAAGTCATTTAAGATCTCTATAGCTGCAAGACTGAGGTGCCTAATTCTAAACTTTAGGCACCACTGTGATGCTCAAAAACTCAGTTCAGGAGCCATCTAACACCAGAGATATCTTAAGTTCCTAGGTGTCTACATGTCTGCTGGGGGACATGTACATAACCACAGTGCTCAAAGCCTGGCCTCACACCTAAACTATGGCACCTTCTTACCCCAGGTGTTCCTTGCCTATGTTTACCATGGAGCCTAATTCAGTAGATGATCTCCAAGCACATGTACTGGATTAGGGAAAAGACAGACTTTTTGGAGCTGGCTGGTATTTGTAAATCATTTTGCCCAATAGCTCATTGTTAAGGGCACTCAGCTGGGAAGTGGGAACATTTTTTGCAAATCCTCACTCTGCCTCCTTTGAAAAACAACATAAACCTAGGTCTCCTACCTTTCTAGAGAAGAGACAGTAGTGTAAAGATGACAATGCAACTGAGGCAGCAGCCTCAGGCATCAATTTTGGGGGGCAAGGAAGGGCAGGAAATAGTTGCTGCCTCTGCAACTACACACAGCTGTAGACGGAAGTCACTGGTGACTCTATGTATTGCAGCTGCCCCAAACACCCAGGCAACTTGTTATGCCTCTGCTATGGAGTGTAGTAGTATGGCCCATTTCCCCAATTCTCTACTTGCAATTGTTCTACTAAATTATATTTATTTATTAGATGGGGGATGGTTGAGGCACACACTGATTCTAAATTTGTTACCTGCAAGAGTCAGTTTCACCTCCCTGCTGATATTTTCTGAAACCAAAATTCCAGCTGTGCTTCATATAGCCCAGTGGTTCTCACCTATTTGCCATAGTGGGCCATACTTTCAGCTCTCAATGTGGGCCACACCCACACAACTTACTTCCTGTGTATACATTTAACAGAATGTCACATGGACCACAGCAGTGTGATGATTGGGTCACTTGTAGCCCTCCAGTCACAATTTGAGAACCACTGATATAGTCAGTCCTTAAGACTGATATTTCAGTCTCTTCTCACCAGAGCAGGGCTGGAAAGACAAGGATAACTACAATGTAAAGAATATTTAACATAAATGACATTTCTTCATCCTTGTCGCAGAGCACTAAGGTGCCCTGCTCCTAGAGAGGGGAAACTGCCAGGGAAAAGAGCCCTAGCAGGGAATAAGAGCCCACCTGCGGGTTGCCAGGGCAACTGGAGGCAGCAAATGACCCACACCTGACAGCGGTCAGCTGGCTGTAAGGGGCAAGGCCTGGCTCTTATAAAGCCCAGGGCTGAGGCCAGGCTGGCAGTTCCCTGCCAGCAGCCAGAGAGGCAGGAAGAAGCCTGATCGCAAGTACAGCTCATGGCAGCTCTGGAGGCTTGGGCAATGAGGTTAAGTTATAGCCAGGTGGCTTATGTTTCAGTTGTAGCCAAGAGGCTTGAGTTTGTGTTGATGTTACACCGGTGGTTTGGGTGAGGCTATAAGGGGTTGGAGGAGGCCTCAGGGGGAACCCACAGCGGCGTGGGGACCCCGGCGCCAGTGAGGGCGCAGTATCCTCAAAGGGGCCTCACAGAGGAGTGTGAGGACCCCAGCGCCCAGGAGGGGGGGCAGCACTGTTGAGAAGCCCAAGTTGGGCATGGTGAGCCCCAGACAGGGGGCAGCACTGTTGAGAAGCCCAAGTTGGGCACGGCAAGCCCCAGAGAGGGGCGTTTGAGAAGCCCTAGTGTGGGCGTGGCGAGCCCCGAGAGTGGAGCCCTATTGAGAAGCCCAAGTGTGGGCACGGCGAGCCCCAGATAGGGGGGGCAGCACGTTTGAGAAGCCCAGGCGTGGGCACGGAGAGCCCCAGAAAGGGGGCAACGTTATTGGAAAGCCCAAGCTGGGCACGGCGAGCCCCGGACAGGGAGCACCTTATTGAGAAGCCCAGTGCAGGCGTGGTGAGCCCCAGGAGGGGGCACTATTGAGAAGCCCAGTGCAGGCGGGGGGAGCCCCAGGAGGGGGCACTATTGAGAAGCCCAGTGCAGGCGTGGTGAGCCCCAGGAGGGGGCACTATTGAGAAGCCCAGTGCAGGCGTGGTGAGCCCCAGGAGGGGGCACTATTGAGAAGCCCAGTGCAGGCGTGGTGAGCCCCAGGAGGGGGCACTATTGAGAAGCCCAGTGACGGGCATGTTGAGGCCCCGAGAGAGGGCGACGGCGCAGAGAAGGCCCCGAGAGAGGGCGAGGAGAGCCCCAGGAGGGGGCGGCAGTGTATGTAGAGAGAGAGAGAGTAACAGTCCAACGTCCATTCCAACTGCGAGGCTTGGGGCATGGTATAAGGGGTGGTTGGAGCCACGCATAGCCCATAAGGCTAGGGTGCCCCAAAGCACCCATTTGCAGGACAAGACCCACGAGGGGTCCGGGAGTCTACAGGACCAGAGGTTACAACGGACCGTGTCCAAGAAGACGTGAGGCAGCCTTCCTAATCTATATTAGAACATCAAAGACGTGGCGGGCGAGAATCAGAGGGTGTCCTTGGGCCGACTTGGCACGGAGGAAGGAGCCTTAAGGAGATCACGGCCCTCCTGTAGGACCCCGCCATGACAATCCTCTAATATTTAGTTGTCCAGGCCCCTACCCTGCAGTGTGCTCATGTCACATCACAAGTTCCCTGACTTTTTTCTGTACTTTCCTTTCAGGGTATCTGATAGCGTTGTAGAATGTTATACTCCTGCACAAAAAATTCCATCAGAATATCCTGTTAAAATGGAAATTGACTTAGCTATTCGAAAAACTAAAGATCATTTTACATACAGAGAAGACCCCATTGTTTTAAAAATCCATCCAACCAAATCTTTTCTTAGGTAAGTAAAAATTTCTCATAGAAATGGGAGAGAAGAATGACACTGTTGTACAGTAATCTATCAAAATAAATTGCATTTTTATCTCTATCTGCCATGCCAATTGCTTCTATTATGGTTCAGTTGCAGAGGGCAGATCACTTCCTTTCAAAGGTGAATGGGAGAATTTTTTGTCAATTTTTAATGTGATTTGACTCCTCACTGTTGTTGAGTGTGCCTATAACGTCCAGATGAGATGCATCTATTGTAATTGCAAAATGCACCTTGCATGCTATGTTTAGACATTCCAGTGATTAATGTACATGTCATCTTAACATACAAATTCAATAGAACAGCAGATTAATTTTAAAAGAACACAGCAACTCGTATATGTACCATATTGCTCTGATTACAAGTTTTCCCTACATTTAAGATGATCACACGTTTTCAGATTTGATGTCCAAAAAGCAGCTTTAAGTATAAGGCAATAACTACAGATGAAGAACTTGAACAGTAGTTGCTTACAAAATCCTACAGGATATTAAATACCCAAAGGGAAGGCTACGAGGGTAAAATGCTATGTATAGAGGGTGTGTGTGTGTGTGTGTGTGTGTGTGTGTAGAGGGGGAGAAGGAGAGGGAGAGGGCATTATATAGATACGTTTTAAAATTATATAATTGTATTAGCTTTAACACAAATTATCTGTCCTTGCAAAGAAGTCAAAAATGAAAAGGAAAAGTTTTTTGATACCTTTGAAAGCAGTGATTTTAAATAGGTTAGAAATAGTTGGGATTCCTTTGTATCCTCCTTCAGTTGCACAGCTCCTTTTTATTTTCTGCTATCTCAATAAAATATATATTTATTGTATGTTTCTTTCTGTCTCTGATTTTTACATCCAAGGCAAAGAGAACTTAATTCTCAGAATAATACTTTAAGAGACACCAGAGCTTTTATTTGAAACTCACCCTTCATGTTTTTAAATTTACTTTTAGACTGTTGTTTAATCTAAAATGTATTTATTTATATGGCTCTTTATAGAAAATACAATTATTGAAATAATTATTTTTAATTTTCACCAGCGGTGGAAGTACAATCACAGCTCATGGAATCAACCTGAATTCCGTGTGCTTTCCTCAGATGGTAATCACTGTACCTAAGCTAGGGAAGAACTTCACTGTGGTAAGTCAGTCTCTGGGATGGTAAATTTAATCTCAATATATTCTGAATATCTCTGTTCTCTTTGGTCAAAAGTGCTTGTTTTCAACTTGTACCTTGAGGTCCTGAGTAGAAGTTTTTCTGTTGACTTCACTAAGAACCAGATAAGACAGGATGAAAATGTCATTATGATGGTTCCCCTGCATGCAGCAAAGATCAGTGATACTTTGAAAATTTTAAAAAAAATCAGTTAGCCATAACAATGAAGATAACATGTAAAGGTTATAAGGGATTCTTGCAAGGAGAAATAATATTGGGCGGAGTCATTTTATTTAAGAAATTAAGGCCAGTTTGTGCTACTGTCAAAGTCAACTGCAAGCCTCCACTTGACTTTATTGTCAAGGACTGTACACTTGAATGTTGATACAATGCAATTTAAATTGCAGAGCACTATTTAATAAAAAAAAAAATTCATAATAAGTATGAATAAAAAATAACATCACAGATTTGTATAATTTTAAAATAAAACATTGTGAAAATTAAAATGTATAAAACAGTACAAGTTTTAAAAAGTCAGTTACAGTATGAAAACATAATGTTTTTAAGTAGTTCAGTTATTAACAAGTAATATCCAGGCATACAGGCTCAGGTTCATAGTGTTCATTGTGTTTGAACTAATGCTAAAAAATATCATGTTATTTTGGAGTGTTTATTTTAGCTAGCCCTAACCTGAGACTCTTAATTTTGTGCGTACAGTTTTGACCTGCAAACAAATGCACTACAGTGAATTTGGGGTCTGACTGGTAACATTAAGGCAGTGCTTCCAGCTGCACTCATCATTCAATATGAATGTAGAACTCCAGGTGTGAGTATTTAAAGGGAAAAAGTTGAACCTGTAAAGTAGGAGCTCATTGCTGAAATCAATTGCTGTGTTACGTGTTGAGTCTGGGTGCTGGGGTTTCTTCCTTTCAAAATGAAGTAGATTGTTCACATTCTTGCTTGTTCACATTCTTGCTTTTTACTTGTGAGCACATGTAAAATCACTTCAGGGCTTATCTTGAATCCCTTGCTTATCAAAATTCTCACTGATTTCAGAAAGAATCTGGGGTGTGTTAGGAATTCAGATTTTTACCTGGTTCAGATTTTCTTAAAAGTATAAAGAAAACATTGAGTAAAATTCTATTATTTTTTTTTTTCAAAATCAGATAAACAGATAAATAAGATACCTGAATTTGGCAGCTCTCTCATACAGATCTCAGGGGGGCTTCTGTTCTTTGCATTTAGTAACACCTGAGAGAATGATCAGATAGAACTGTAGGGTGTGTGTAGATGAAATGGGAGCCCTAAATTGAAGCAGTGAGTTTTTAAAAACACCACTTCAATTTAGAGCCCTTTAAACCCCCTTGTCATGCACACACCCAAACTTACCTGCCTCTCTGGCAGTGGGGAGGGGAGGGTGAGATGCTGGTGGGTAGAGTGGTTCCTGGGCTGCAGGTGGGGGCTGGTGCTTCCCTCCATGGCAGCCGCAGCCCCGCCCCCCTCCCTGGCAGCACCCACCCACAGGCACTCAGCTCAGGTGGTTGGGTAGGCAGCCCGCACAGCTCATGCAGGCAGGCTTCAAGGGGGGGAAAAAAAAGATCAGGCTCACTGCTTTTCTTGGGAGGAGCCTGCTTTCCCAGGCCGCTGCCAGGCTGCCTGCATGGGCTTCCTGCAGAGCCATGGAGCTGCATGGAGCCCAGTGCTTCACTCCGTGGCTGTAGGGCAGCAAACAAAAACTCCTCAGAAGAGTTCTAGTTTGCTGCACCCCAAGTAATTTTAAGGTGCATTACACCGCCGAAATTGCAACATCAGCTGGAATTACTGTGCAGTACACTGCCAATGCGCGCAAACATAAACTCCATTAAAGTGGTGTAAAAGCATTTAACCTACTTAGTGTTATGCACACATGCCCCTCATTTTGTCTACACATGGCCGTAGAGTCCTCTCCTTCACAAGATTCTTCGAATACTAGGGAACAATCTGTCTGTTTTAAACAGTAGCTTACTCCCCTCCTCTTCTGTCTGTGAAAAATTACCTCTCTTCCCTTGATCTGCCTCTAAAAAATAATGGGGGCAAGGAAAATCAAAATTATCTTTGATGCTGTTCAGCATAATTTATTTCTGGCATCAAAAATGTATGTGGTACAAGGATATGTAGGATCAGGTCTGCCCATAAATAGGTTTGTCTGATAAAAAAAAGTGGGTCTCTTTAAAAGATAAACTGGAGCCTAAAAGTATCCAGGCAGAAGTTCTATTCCTCTGCACTGCCTCTGGAGACCCCTGACTTCCTGTGTTTCTGTGGCAACCAAGATGGAGTGTTGCTGCTATTTGCTTCCCCACAAGCCTCTGTCCCCAAATAACTCCTCAAAGTAGACTCCACACCGTGATGAGAAAAGGAATTACAGTAAAAGCTGTGTTATCTGGCACCTTACTAGCCGGCATGCTCTATTAACCAGCATGCCGGCTTGTAAGGTAAAAGCGAAACCAGAAGTGCCCGCCGTGGTACTTTGTTTCACTAAGCCCCCATGGCCCAGGGCAAAGTAGCCTGCACTGCCAAGCCCCCATGGCTCGGGGCATAGCAGCCTGTGGGGCCTGTGGGAGGGGGGGTAATGTGGCAGGAGAGGCGGCAGTCCAAACAGGGAAAGACGCCTGTTTGGGCCTCTCAAGTAACTGCCATATTTTGTTATCCAGCACCCCCCATTCCCCATGGGTGCCAGATAACAAAGCTTTTGCTGTAATATGGAAAAGGCAAAATTAGATGGAAGATCCTGTATGCATGCCACTAGAGAATACACTTGAATGCACCCTACCTCATTCTACGGTGTGGATCCTGAGCCCCAGACCATACATAACACCCACAGAGAACTTCAAGGCTAAGTACAAACAATCAAAAAGCCTGAGGCTGAGTTGATTCAATCTTTGCAGGTTAGTCTAAACTGCATAGATTGAACCAATAAGCAAGTAAGCAGACATTCACTTTTGATTCCAGAAATGCAGACACATGCCTGCAGTGGCCCAGGCCAGAAGCTGGGAGGTGCTAGAGCATGCCTCCCTGCTCAGCTGGAGCAGACAGGCTGGGCCAAGGCTAGCCTGCCCACCCTGCAAGGGGGACAGGGGGAGTGGGGCTTGCAGGGGAGGTGCAAAGCATCCTGAGATGCTGGGGAACTGTGAGTTAACTTTAATCTGGAGGGAATCTGGGACATATCAGTTTGTGTAATTTCCGCCCCTAGCCCTATGATGCTAAGAATAGGGGCAATGGTGCTGAGGAGATGTGTCCTTTTTCTCCTTCCCTCACTTGGAGCCAAAGCAACATAGCTCCCAGCTTCATATTACCAAAGGGGATAATGCGATATGACCCTAAATACATAAAACCCAGACAGCAGAGTGGGAAGCAGCACAGCATAAAGCAAATTGACTGAGAGGTTTGGGCAAAGTTAATGGACTCATTTATTGTTTTCTTTTCAGTTTTTAAATAGCAAGTTTACATCCTCTCTCTTACACTTTGGTATACTTGGGGCAGAGAAGCTGTCCTCATCATTATCCAATATTATTCAAAAGTACAGAGAAAACTAAAGTCAAGGCAGAACTAAATTTTATAGAATCATAGAAAGGTAGAGTTGAAGGGACCTCAGTAGATTGTCTAACCCCCATCACCTTGTGCAGCAGAGAAAAGGTACTTAGGCCATCTCTGGCATGTTTGTCTAACCTGTCCTTAAAAACTTCTTGCAGAGCAGAACCCACAACCTCCCAAATTCCCTCCTTTAGAGAGACATACATTCCTTGTATTACATCTAAATTTTCTTTCAGCAAATGAAGCCAATTTATTCTTCTCCTTCCCTCAGGGATCACGAAGAACAATTGATCACCATCTTTGTTGTTACCTCTCGCATGCTGAAAGGCTGTTACCATGTTCTTCTCTTCTTTTTTCTAGACTAAACAAAACCAGTTCCTTCAACCTTTCCACGTAGGTCATGTTTTCCAAACCCCTTATTCTTTTTACTCTCCTCTGGATTTGCTCCAATTTGTCTGTGTCTCTCTTAAAGCATGCGTCTTAAAGGGCTGTTCTTCACAAACCTTTGAAGAGGTTAGTATTAGACCTGGTCACAAAATGTTCCCTGGAACAGTTTTCCATTAGAGAATGTAGTTTCATGGGGGTGTGTCAACTTCAACATTTTTTTTCTACATGTTTAAATAAATTACTTTGACTTTCTTGCTTCAGTCCAATAATATTGAAACATTCCATTATGATTAAATGTCTAGTTTCAACTTTTTCATTATGATTCATTTCATTTCAGATTAAACCATATTAAAATATTAATTTTGATAGTGTGCTTGTATATATATTTAATATTCTATAATATACATTTTATCTTCTTGAAATTAACTTTTCAGCATTATTAAAAATATGATTCAACATTCATAGATTCATAGATGTTAGGGTCGGAAGGGACCTCAATAGATCATCGAGTCCGACCCCCTGCACAAGCAGGAAAGAGTGCTGGGTCTAGATGACTCCAGCTAGATACTCGATGACCCCAGCTAGATACTCATCCAACCTCCTCTTGAAGACCCCCAGGGTAGGGGAGAGCACCACCTCCCTTGGGAGCCCGTTCCAGATGCTGGCCACTTGAACTGTGAAGAAGTTCTTCCTAATGTCCAATCTAAATCTGCTCTCTGCTAGCTTGTGGCCATTGTTTCTTGTAACATTATTGATTTACAGTGTGTTAATGTTTCCAAACCAAAGATTTTGGAAATTTCTGTTCAAAGGGATGTTTCTCATTCCATTCCAGTAAGGAACAAAACCCATTCTGAAATGGTGGGATTTCCTGCAGAATATAAATATACCCTTTCGCTGTCTTATGGCCACTTGGTGGGGCAAGTCACTGCATCTTCTCTCTTCCTACTCCACCCTTGCAATAGCTTTATACAATCTAACCTTTGGCATCTCCAAAGGAATTTTGAATTTTTGTTCAAAAAACAAAATCC